ACAGCTCCAGTCATCAAACCAATAACAATTCCAGCAATTGCACCAGAACTCAATCCCGAGCTTCCACCACAAGATCTCAAGGGTTGCCACAAAGGCTAGGACTATTCCCCTCAAAAACCTCCAAACCAAACTTTGATTCTTCAAATTTTGGCAACAGTACCCCCACTAAAATTGTTGTGTGAAAGATTCAGTTTTTCCAATTTTAGCCCAGTAATACTCTCTGGTATTGGACCAGAAAACATATTATTCCCAAGATCAAGCTCTTTAAACCCATGAAACCTAGTAATGAACTCTGGAAAATTCCCAGAAAACGTATTTTGTCCCAAATAAATAAAATGCAAATCCTTGCAGATAGCATCTGGTAATGCAGGATCAGGAAGAGAATCAGATAAAGTATTAACATGAAGCCTCCTTTTCTGTATAATCTCAAAAATCTTTACTGAAAATTGTGGAAGAAAAGGACCAAATTTACGAGGATGTCATGTAGTTCTTTTTGTTGTAGACCCATAAATTTATGTCCGATTAAAACTGTGATGTCACCAGGAAAAGTGGAATTTATAACGCCAAGCAGGGTTAGGTTTCATTTTGGAAGAATTAGGGCTTCAAAGATGGAGTCTTATGGGAGCTCTCCTGATTTTGTTGAACGGATGGAACGTGCCTGGTTGATTTCTCAGGTATAATTTTGGCTTCAATTTTCGGCCAAATCAATTGGAGTCATGGTCGGAGCTTGAGTGGATTTTGAAGAGGGAAGTGAGGGTTTCAAGGTGGTATGTTGGTCCCGCGCTCAAGGTGGCCGGAGGGTGGAGTTTTGGTGATGGAAGAGGAGGGGAGGAAGAGGGAGAGGAGAGAAGAAAGAGATGGTTTTTTAATTTTTATAATTTATTGAAATGATTTATATTTTTCCTAAATGTTGGGAGTATGATTGCAATTTGTGCTTCATTTTTCTTTTCTTTTTTGGTTTTTAAATAAGAGGGTATAATGGTCATTTCATGTTCAAAAATAGGAAAAATGATGTTTTGTGCAACTAAACGTTGCAATAAAGGCAAAAAATGCCAAAAAAAATGAAAAATATGGACGTTTTCCACAATCAACATGAAACGTAGAGACGTTTTGTGCCAATTTCTCCAAAACTTTTTTTCACATTGAAGAGTTGAGACCAGGCCTGTATACAATTGTCGGTAGTGTTTTTCCCCATTTACCAATAATTCCTCAACTGTAGTTAAATTTATGAGAAGTATCCAAATCTACGAAAAGTTATTATAATGATAAAAATAAATACATACAACCTTCTTTAGAGAATAATTTCTCCCACACTGACACCCCTCCAAACAGAAGACAGATTTGCCAGAAAGATATCACGAGTCATGACTTCACCAGATATATAAGACCACAAGGGGTTATAATTAATCAAGCTACAGCTTAAATAGACACACAAGCCTAATCAGGTTGGATAAGCACACAAACTATCCCCTTCTACCCTTTCCCCTCAAATAACAGGGAGAAAATATCCAACAAAAGACAAGCATAGTACAAATGTGGCTTACATAAAAGGAAAATGGATATTCACCTCTTCTAAGGTGCGCGCGGTATAGAGAAATTGAAAATTTACATTATTCTGTTTCATCTGCTCCTTGAGGAATCCAATAATAATCCATGTAGAACTATTAAACAGAAAAGACCAAATAGTTGAGTCTTCGGTAATCCTCAGTGGTCAATTAGGACACATGAACTTGAAATGTGTGAGTGGTCAATTAGGACACATGAACTTGAAATGTGTGAGTGGTCAATTAGGACACATGAACTTGAAATGTGTGAGTGGTCAATTAGGACACATGAACTTGAAATGTGTGAGTGGTCAATTAGGACACATGAACTTGAAATGTGTGAATCTATTAGTAGAAAAACACAAAAAATGGAAATAGGCAAAAGATATATCCCAATGCTTGTTCAGTTGCAAGTTACAATTATCCTTGTTGGATACAAATCTAATCTAATGAGTAAGTCTATAAATTCAGGTATACTAAAGTACATGAAATACTTCTAAGAAAAAAGGTATAGCATTAAGAAGAAAGAGCTTACTTGGTACAACAGAAGTTTGATGGAAACCAATATTCACAACAATTCCTGAAATGTGTCTTGCCGAAAACAAAACTAAAGTTGCCTGCACTAATTCAAAAGAAATCATGAGATAATTTAGTAAACAGAAAAAGAAAATACATTGTCAATTTACAAGGACGATTGATCAAATTCACATTTATTTTAAATTGTTGGAGGTTGAAGTCCCACCTTTTGAACTTATGCACTAATAGTCTGAACATAAAATTTCGGAAACATTGAGTTTAAGAACTTAGCTGCAATTTATCAAAGGTAAGTCTCAGCCCCCAATGACATTGATTTTGGATTTTACATGCAATCAAGCTAAATATGCTGCACTCATAATGGAGAACTCGTTTTCTGGCCTCAAAATATGGCAACGGCATCAAAATCATAGCGAGTACCCACTGGCTCACAATTCTTAAGCCAAATTTTTGTGAACAAATTAAAATAACTATCAAGTATTGACAAAGGTTAGGACAACACAAATTTATACAAGAATAGGCAAATAA